AATACACACAGTCTCTTAAAACATTGCCAAGCTCCCAAAGTTTTTAAAGTGAGTTAAATTATTAATTATATACTTGACTTTTACAGTGTATAGTAGAATATATTTATAATTCCTATTTATCTATTAACACGTATTATAAGTTTAAAGATTATGCACAATTAGTGAATATGGAATATAAAGTATATGGGATAACTCAAAGTATTTGATTCTAAAAGAAGTTATAAAAAAGAAATTGTAACTTTGATTTTAAAAGAAGTTATCAAAAAGAAATTGCAACTTTGATTCTAAAGATTCCTTTTGATCGATTAGATAACAATCAACTGATTAATAAATTAATAAAGATGGATTGAACTCAGGATTTTCAGCAATATGGCTAGAAGGTATAAGAATAATGTCAGTTATAAATGGAGAATATATACGTCACGTGCACCATCGCATAGAATCGATCTTAAAACACTACCTAGTTTTCAAAATTTATATTTTTAAGAGAGGCGTGTTGTAAAATTTTTATTATTACGTATATTTAGTTTGATAATAAGTTTAAAAAATACATACGGTCAGAGAATAAGAAATATAAAATATTTGGGATAACTCAAAATACAACTAACGAATATATGATAGTATTTGATAAATTTCATTTTGAAAGAAAGTTAATTTACGGAAAATGAAGAAATTGTGACCGATATAACACTTTGTTAGGCCGGTGGCTCATGGACAAGCAGAAATACGAATATAGATAATTGCATTAAGAATATGAAGATGTAATTGAATGGATTTTTTTCATATATTAGATAATGTTCAAATTATTGGTAATAGAGGAGTTGGTACAGCATTTACAGCAACATGGTTAGATGGTAAAAGAAACAGTGCAAATCGTACATCTCTTATAGTCACACTTAAAACATTGCCTAGATCTCAATGTAATTTTTTAAGAGAAGGGAGTTAAATTATTTAAATTTATGATCTTATATTGTTGATTTTATTAATATATTTATATATCATTTCTATTGATAGTTTAAAAAATTATATGAAGCTTAGGTCAGTATGTAGAGTGCTTGAAGTATATGGGCTAACACGGAACACAGATAATGAATATTTGATGGTAATTCAATATGCAAATATCGGAAATTCGTAATCATTTAATATCAAACTTTAGAGAACTTGGAAAAGCAAATTGAAGCCACTTAACTTATAGATATGTCAAAAAATTTAGCACAAATGCATAAAGCAGCACTTGGGAATTTCCTTAGTGGCTATATATTACAATAGCAAAATCTTATTGGAGATATAATGCATTATATTGCAGATATAGGACTATCTAAAATTAACGAAGAGTCTAAATTCAGGAGTTTATGGAGTATTACATATGTCGCACCAAAAGTGTTGAATAAACGACCTTTACATAGCAGCAGATACTTATAGTTTTGGCGTTATTATGACCAACATTCCTACAGGGATATTTACTTAGTACGAAATTGATTATAATGAAAAGCTAACTATTGGAATATGTAACGGATTAAGCCCTGGAATTGCTAAAGACATTCCTGAATATCAAGTCAATGCATGAATATTAATCGACCGAGATAAATTTTCCACCCAAAAAAGTTTCAACCATAACGTGACAAGTATATTGAGCACCAAAAATTCATTTGTAACTTGAACAAAAAATACAAACAAAATAAAATTTATAGACTACCAAAATAATAACGATAAACAATTTTGTTTATTTCGAATAAACTCAATCAACGTAATTTTTATTACAGCAAAAAAGTATTATGATAACGGTTTGTCTAAGTATTTGGAATATTTTATTGCTTTTTAAAATGATTATAATCCATCACCGATTTATTCAATGACTCGAATTTTTTTACTAATAATATCGATCACTTTGATTCATTATGTTTTCTTCAATAATTTTTGCTCAAATAAATTATAAGAGTTATAGTCTTCTGGAAGAGCATTAAAAATAAAATCTACAAGGTTTTCTGGTGCAATTACATTTTCATGATTATTTTTTATGACTTTCATTCTTTTTTCTTTATTATTAGTAGAAATTTGAGTATTGTGCTTATTGGATTACATGCTTTTAAAAGTACCACTTGGATTGTCGATCGCTTTTCATTTTGAAGAATTGAAGGAAAAAAATCACTTACTAAATCAATTAATATTTTACTAAATATCATTATCATAATCTAATTTTCGAAACTTTTTTGAGTGGCGATTTTACCCCGGTCGAAAAGTAGCATTAAACCTATCAAATAATGTAATGAAATGGTCAGCACTACTAATTTTGATAGATTCAATTTCATAAACATAAGCATATTGGGTAATTCATATGTTATAGATTTTCCGGTGTAATTAGGTTCGAAAAATATTTGAACGATATTGATAAAAGTGTCTTCTGAGAAAGTTGATAAGAGAAAGAAGAATAATTAATAGTTATCAGGCAGGCACTGATAACTGATTTATTTGGTCAAAAATTTAAAATCAAACTAAGAAATTGAATTCCGAAGGAATTCAACTTCATAGGCTGATCTTAAATTTTTGACCAAATAATTAAGTTGCATGACTGATAACGGATTTTATTCTCGCTCGGATCAAATTTATTTGATTTGATTGGACGAAGATACACAATGGGAGTTGTGCCACGCTGCGGCTCTTGGCACCTACTTTTAACTTATATACACTTTTAAATACATAATACTCAATTCAATGTGCGTACACAAGGTTTGCGCAATGGTCACGTGGCGAAAAAAAGAGTATTGGGCATGTTTATAACATACCAAGGTGGCCAACACAAAGGTGTACACATCTTTGTATTACATCAATATTTCATCATTATCTTTAATTTTTTACACATTACAATACTAAATCTCAGATGAGCGTTGCAGAGCAAGTTGCTGAGCTAGACCACCCACAAGTCAGCAAGCATGTCCCCGAGCATATCACGTTTTCATTTTCATCTCTTTCTTTTTCTTTTTTTTTTTTTTTTTTATAATTCACTTTACTAAATATCAGCTGAGCATCATGAAGCAAGTTGTTGAGCAAGACCACCCACAAGTCAGCAAGCACATCCCCGAGCATCTCATGTTTTCATTTTCATTTCTTTCTTTTTTATAATACCCTTTATTAAATATCAGCTGAGCGTCGCAGAGCAAGTTGCTGAGCTAGACCACCCACAAGTCAACAAGCAAGTCCCCAAGCATCTTATGTTTTAATTTTCATCTCTTCTTTTTTTTTTTTATATAATACTAAATATCAGCTGAGCGTCGTGGAGCAAGTTGCTGAGCAAGACCACCCACAAGTCAGCAAGCATGTCTCCAAGCACCTCACGTTTTCATTTTCATTTCTTTCTTGTTTTCTTTTTTATAATACCCTTTACTAAATATTAGCTGAGAGTCATGGAGCAAGTTGCTGAGCAAGACCACCCACAAGTCAGCAAGCATGTCCTCGAGCATCTCATGTTTTCATTTTCATCTCTCTCTTTTTCCCTTTTTATAATACCCCTTACTAAATATCAGCTAAGCATTATGGGCAAATTGCTAAGTAAAACCAACCACAAGTCAGCAAGCACGTCCCCAGGCATCTTTTACTTTCATTTTCATTTCTTTTTCTTTTTTATAATACTCCTTACTAAATATAAGCCGATCGTCACAGAGCAAGTTGCTGAGCAAGACCACCCATAAGTCAGCAGGCATGTCCTGAGAATCTCACGTTTTTATTTTCATATCTTTTCAAGTCACTTTTTCGGTTTTTTTTTTTTTTTTTTTTTACATTTCAATACTAAGCATCTGGTGAACATAATGGAATAACCTCGAGACTATCCACAAGTCAACAAGCATGTCCTTAAGCTCTTTCTTTCAGAAGCTCTAAATTAAATGAATTAGTTAGTATTATGAAATGTATATAAGTATATACAAAGTAATTAGTATAATACGAATCTTTTACAGTGCCCAATTAAGGCCAAAGATCAAAGCGTAAAGCCTCAAGTAATGACGCTAAAGAGTTGCCTCTGAAATTACACCTTTCAATGCTAAACATAGATGAGTGTTGTGTAGCAAGTTGCTGAGCAAGATTACTCACAAGTTAGCAAGCACATCTATGAGCATCTCACATTTTCATTTTCATCCTTTTTTTTTTTTTTTTTTGCAGTGCTCAACCTGTCACTTCCTCTACTGCTATCTTTTGTTCTCAGTAACGAATCATCATCCTTCAATAGTCATATGGATATTTGCACATGATGAAGTGAGAAATTAATAAACTAAATACTATACAAGTTCACGCTGTGGTATAGCACATTTAACTTTCTTTTAAAGTGAGTTGAGAAGCCTAATCATTCTCCATAATAACTGATTGCAGTGTTTTTTGCTTGTCTTTTTTTTTTTTTTTTTTTTTTTTTTTTGTAACAACTGATTTTCTCCCACTCCTGCCATTATATTGTCCAATTTTATTAGAACATACTTGAGTTCCTAAAGAAAATTTCTTATTTTAGCATTCCTAGGGCAGGCAATAGGCAGGACTATATACGAAAGAGCCAGACCCAAGTCAGGCAGCGAAGGAAAAATGTACTGCATATCACAATCACCATTTAATCTTTAAATACTATTTTAAGTTACACAGATCAAATGGAATGATTCTCACGATAATAACTCTAGCATGACTATTGTCATGCCTTGGGTCATATCTGGTAACTTATGACAATAGTCTGCCTAATAACAATTTTATTATGTGGCAACTATATAGTTTTTGCCGAATAATAAATTTATTTGGCAGACAAATCATAATAAGCTGCTAGATAAAAAGGCAAGTATCTATTAAAAAATGCAAATTAAATGCATAGTATGATAAGTTGCCAAAAAAGACCAATATTATTTAAAATGAAAAATTTTTATCACATCAAATTTAAAATGTTTAGTTTTAATTTTTTTTTAAAAAATTCATGCATAAGTACTTTATTTTTGTATTGTAACGATTATTGGCTCTTTTGCTATAAGCATATATTATTTCTCAAGAGCCATTTCTGGTTGTGGATCTGACTCTTCACCTTCTTCTGGGGTGTTACTGTAATAAATTTATTTTTTCTGGAACTTTAGCTTTGTCTTGAATTTTAGTAAATGAGTTTATTTATAATCTCAAATATTTACTAGAACATATTTTTGTTTTACCATATTTCCTGTCACTAACCCACTTCTTTTGCTTAGTTTTCTTACATAATATATATATATTTGACTTAAATATATAAAATACCTTGTATATATGGCTATAATTAAATGAGACTTCTACGTATTTCGGATGTATTTTTATTTATCTTTATTTAGCTACATTTATAATGTCATTAGTAAGAAAAAAACTGATATATATAAGGGAAGTGTCAGACATCAGCTGATATCATAGGATAGGGTAGAGGTAGACAAAATCTCAGGTCTAAATATATATATATAACCAATCAGAATGACTAAATTTCTCAGAAGGGGGGAAAGGGGATGAGCTCTATAGTAAACTAATCTCAGCTAATATCTGACATGTCTCTAACTAGACATAGATTCGCTATATTGGTTAACATTCAATATTCTGATAGGTCCATATTTTTTTTTCAAAATCTGATTTTTAGACTTCAAATGGCTAAATTATTTTCAGTATTTTCAGTACTTTATGAAACTATCATTCTTTTTATATCTCTGCATATTATATAAATTATAATTATTGACCAAGAAATACTAACACAATATGAAAAAACCTCCAATGCTTGAGTAAATAAGCACAAATCTACTCTCACCCCCTTACTGAAGAAGCTAAAAACATGGTGCTTCCAGGAATAGAAACCTACAAAACTCTAGAATGTGGTGAAACAATTACAATTCTAGGTTACTCTATAGATAGCAAAGGCTATGCCTTCAGTTTTCTTTGGCCTAACACTATCAAAAAAATAAAACAATTATTAGACAACTCAGTTACTCAGAACCTTTCACTCAGAGGTTGCATTCTCCTAGTCAATACATTGGTCCTATCTCACATCTGGTATACAGCCGCACACTACTACCTTCTATAAGTAAACAAACATCAAAAATTAATAAACTCATCATGTATAGTATCAAACACAATTTACATACACTGCTACGGTACTCTACATTTCTACAAGCATACTCCACACATGGCCTACAAGCTTCAGTCTCTACAAATATACTGACAGCTCGCAGAATCAATATCTGGATAAAACTATTAACTAGAAATTCATTTTGGGCAAAGATCGAATGGGATATGATAGCGCAGCAGATCTTTAACAGCAGAGAAATCACAATCAATCAAGTGCTCTCCTCCAACTACATAAAAACTAAAGCCTGACCAGCCAGATGAAAAACCTTTTATTAAAGCCTGGAAAAAAGCAGAAGGCTCAATTGGCAGGAATGAGGAATCATAGCTCTGAACTTTAGATTCCATCACACTAATACATAAGCTGGGCAGAGCATGCTTAGTGAAAAGAATTGTTCAATTTCTCAAAAACTAAACTGTCATTATATCAATCACACAAAACAACTTATTCAAAAAACCCTCCACAACAATTAGCTCCATTACACTGTAACTGGATTTTAAACAAAAATCAGACATTCTATGGAGACTCTTACATAGAGCCCTCCCCCTAGGATACTGCTTAAAACGCATGGTAGTGTCAGATGATAGCAGCTGCACCTACATAGGCTGGACTATCCATGGGCATCCATGAACTGGTCCAATTTGGGTCGGGCTTAATTCAAAATTTTTGACCATGGATAATTGAGTTCAGATTCAAAAACCCATGGATAGTCCATAGAAAATCTGATTGACCAAAATTATAGATGTCATCATTGTTTTTCTGATCTTATGATATCAAAATTACGAATCCAAACTTAATTTAAAACTAAGCTGTTTACATTTTGTGCTATTTGGATCTATGGATTGTATCATATGGTCATGGGCTGAGCTTGGATCTATCCAATTAAATATGGGCTGGATCTGGATTTTGAAATATCTGGCCCAGCTTAGCCCATGCAGAACCCTAGTTATACGCCCTTTAATTAATGTTAAGGGCTTCTAATCACCCACAAAATTTCTTAAAGAATTATAAATAATAATTTGTAAATATATACAGTATACACTTAATAAAGCGCCATTTGCACACCTTATTTATTAAGGTAAATTCAAATAAAAAATTATATAATTACTAGCGAATGACCTGTGCCTTCAGTACGGGATATCTAACCTATTGAATTACCAAAAGTTAGACAAAGCAAACATATATTAAAATGGGATCTCTATTACTTTCCCAACAACCATTTTTCCATCCAATGCAAATTCTGACAAAAATTAGCCAGAACTAATGCTAACCCCAAATTAATGCAAGTGAACTTGTGATTTTAATACTGCCAGAAAAATGATAGGTTCCTATCAAAATATATTTTGCAAAAAAAAAATACCTATTATTGAGAATCAGAAGATTTTCTATTTACTACTGAAATAGTGAACACATTTTACTGTCGAAACAGGACTCTCATTATTGAATCACAAATCTTAACATTGAAATCATGAAAATATACTCATCAAATCATGAAACTGTTACAATTATTACTTATATGCTACTAAGTTGTAAAACCAATTATTGTTAAATGCAACTAGCCTGTTGTTAAAAACATGAACCAATTTATCATTGAAATTATGTATCTATTTACTTACTGCTGAAATTACAAACCTAGCAATTGCTAAAATTATGAACCTACCACTCTTGAAATCTCAAATCTACTTATTTTGTAATTGTGAACCCATCTATTGTTAGTATATAAATTCACACATTAATAAAATTATAAATCTATTTTATTTACTGCAAAATCATAAATACAATTCCTATTACTATATTAAAATTACAAACCTAGTTAAAGTCCCAAATCAACTATTGTTTAAATCACTAATTATAGACCACGCACTATTAAAATTATAAATGCATCAATTGTTGAAATTTTTGCTTGCCTACTATTAAAGATATGAGCCCATCACTGTTAAAATCGTGAATCTACCCTATTAAAACTACTAAATTACTAACCCACCTTCTATTGAAATTATGAACCCACTGCTAAAAAAGATCCAGTTCATTTCACTGACAATACTATTCACTGTCAGTGAATTAATTGTCAGTGAAATGAACAGTATTAATCAAAAAAAATTATGAACCTACATACAGGAAATTTGCAAAGTCAACCAACTACGGTTACAAATATGCCCGCAAAACCTTGACGGGGTAAAAAAAAAAAAAAAAAACAGTTGGTAACAATAAATTCTTACATGTCTCATTGGGGTATTCGGTCAACTATATGCGGTACCATACAAAAATTAAGAATTAAGAGTTTTTTTTTTGAATTTAGTGATCAGGATATTGATAAGGATTATTCATCACTTTTTATATATGCTTTAA